GGGGATGGAGCTGGGTAGGTTTGGAGGGAGAGTTGCATGGGGGAGGAGAAGGGATTGATTAAACATAACACGGTCCCAGAGCCTTCGCCTGCCTCTCCCTGATCTTCCCCGCTGAGCCCTTGGAAGCCCTGACAGTAAGAAAAACTTCTCTACCTTCCCTTGCACAAGCTCATGAGCAGCCTCTACTCCAGGAAACCGACTAAGCAAGGGTTCCCCAGGGGAAGGCCTTGCTGAGTTTGAGTCCCAGCTGGGAGCAGCCTCCAGCTTAGGACACTGCTGCCATTGTCTCTTAATAACTCCAGGACTGGCTGGGTGCCCAAGATGCTTTGATTTCTCTTCTCTTTGCTCTATTTGTCTGCCAGAAGGCAGGGACAGTTTTTGTTTCCTTTTGGCAGCAGCTACAGAGAGTTTGAGCACGTCTGAAATATAGTGCACAACTGAATGCCCACTGGCCAGCTACCTCTCTGTGGGACAGAAGCCAGAAGAACCAGGCAGGAAAAGAGTTGACAGGGCCTAGCCAGTGTGGCTCAGTGGTTGAGCGTCGACCCATGCACCAAGAGGTCGCTGATTCGATTCCCAGTCAGAGCACATGGCCCAGATTGTGGGCCTGATTCCCAGTAGAGGGGCATGCCGGAGGCTCCAATCTCATGGATATTTCTCTCTCCCTCTCCCTTCCTCTCTCTCTAAAAATCATTAAAGGAAGGGAAAAAAAGAGTTGATAGAATCTGCCCTGCTTCTCCCAGTGATGCCCCATGAGGGAAGTGGAGGAGAGGAGGAAAGGGGCCTTCTGTGCCAAATTAGGGAGGACTCTGGGGAGGTGTTGAGGGACATGGTTCTGGGAGCTTGCCAGGTCAGACAAAATTCGATGGCTACAACTCCAGGAACTCTTTCTCCGCTATCATCTCACCCCTACCTGCTGGCAAGACTGCCAAGGTTGCCCTGCAAGTTTTTTTCCAAGGCCAGAAGCTAAACTCCATAGTCCTTCCCCACATTATTCTTCCTACTGCACTCCCATCCACAGTGGGGGAGGAAGGCGGGTGTCTCTAGCTGGAGCCCCAAGAGCAATCCAGGGGCCTGTACAGCCTAGTTTAGAAGCTGTTTCTATTTCCAGAAAATTGCAGAGAGTATACTTTATCCATAGCCATCCCCTACCCCAAGGAGGTACATAAGCCAGGCCTTTGTGTGCTGATTTCTAAATAAATGTGTTTGAGGAGTGTGGGAAGGACCACCCAGACAGAAGGTCTAGAAAGCTCAACTCTAGTGGAGCTGACAGAGAGAAAGCGCCTGGGCAGGAGAACACATTCTACTGAAGGCCAGGATGACCTGTCCTCAACCTGAAGGATTGCATCATGGGCTCTTAGCCTCTCTCCTTCCCCCACCCTCCAGGTGAAAGAGATTCTCTGATCTCTGATTGTAGCCTCTGGCACTAGAGACTTGACAGGCAGTACTATTGACCTAAAGCTGCCAACTGAGAAGGGGCATATATTCCCAGGCTTGGCCCCTAAATGTAATGGGTGACAGTGGGGACTGCCAGGGCCCCTCCACATCTTAGGGTCATTGACTCTGCCTGGCCCAGATAACAGAAGCTAGCCCAAAGCATGGTGAGTGAGAAGCCTGGGGGCGTTCCAAGGAAAGAAGGCCTGCCCTGGCTCCTCCCACATGGACCCTACCCTGAAGCCAGGCTGGTCACTTTACCCAGTGTGTGTGTGAGTGAGAAAGAGACCTCACTTTTCCTGGCACTGTTCCTCAGCTGTATATATTACCCCATTTAATCCTTATGTCAATGTCAAAGATTATTTGAGTTGCCCAAGATCTCATGGCCAGTAAACTAAAGATTCAGACCTTGAATCTTATCTTCTTTTAGATTAAGTCATCCTCCCACCTCTCCAATCCAATTCCTCACTTCTGGAAACCTCCCTGAGTATTCCAGCTCACAGTGGTTTTTCCTGTGGCCTCTGTGCTCCCCCTTAAGCTATGAGTGTCCAAAAAGCACGTACTCTGCAACCCCAGAGTTTAGCGAAGGGGTAGGACACATGAGAAACCCTAAGGATCCGGCCACTGTGGCTCAGTGGTTGAGCTTCGACCCATGCACCAAGAGGTCACCGGTTCAATTCCCTGTCAGGACACATGTACAGGTTGTAAGCCTGATTCCCAGTGGGGAGCATGCAGGAGGCAGCCAATCGATGTTCTCATCGATGTTTCTGTCTCTCTCTCCCTCTCATTTCCTCTCTAAAAATCAATCAATAGATTTAGTCTTTGGTGATAATGAATTTAATTAGACTGCTTTTCTCTTGTTATTCTTTGTACAACTTCTCTAGTTTGAGCCCAAAGCACATACCTAGGTCCAGTAGAAGTGACAGTGAACCACACTGTTCTACAGTGAAGCAGGCTGCTTGCAGACAGAAAAGAGGGGCTTCTACTTCCCTTTCTGTTCCCTGAGGTCTATGGCTTTAGCTCACCCTGGCTGAGCTTAGCTGCACTCAGGAAATCACTTTGTTGGGGAGAAGAAAGGTCATTTTGGAGCTTGTAGCAGCCAGAGAGCATTAGGCCCTGGGTTGGGAGAGTTGGAACTGCAGGGGAATTTCTCCCACTCTGGTCTTTGAACTACAAGGCAGTTTTCTCAGCAGGCAGGCTCTACCCTGGAAGCATCCATAGACATGCTGGACTTCACCACAGTTGTTAGCAATGGTAGACCTGCTATGGAAGCAGAATCCCAAGGCCTTGGCAATTACAAATCTATTTCTCCATGGATCTTATGTCTTGCAGAGTCTGATAAGGGTAGAGGTCTCAAGAGCTACTTACAGCAAATTCTCTCCACTTGCAGTCCTGGTGACACCCAGCCATACCCATCTTTGGCTGTAACCCCAATAGGAGCCCATAAAGCCTAGTTTAGAGGCTATTTCTATTTCCAGAGAATTGTTCAGGGTATAGTATTTGTTGTTAATTCTCATCGAAGAATATTTTCCCATTGATTTTTAGATGGAGTGGAAAGGAGGGAGGGAGAGAGAAAGAAAAAAGGAAAAATTGCCCTGCCCGGTTTGGCTCAGCGGTTGGAGCGTGGGCCTGCGGACCAGAGAGTTCTGGGTTCAGTTTCCACTAGGGGCATGTACAAAAAAAAGAAAGAAAAAAAAAATTGATGTGAGAAAGACACATCTATTGGTTGTGTCCCCCATGACCCCGACTGGGGATTGAACCTGCATCTTGACCAGGAATCAAACCTGAGACCCTTTGGTCTGCGGCCAGATGGGCTAACTGCTGAGCCAAATTGATCAGGGCCATATGCTTTTAATGTGTAGTTACTACTTGGCCAACAGCATCATACATGTTGCTCCACAGGCATTTTGTTACATGAATGGACCAGTGGAAGCCGCAGACCTGTTCACCCCCTCAGCCTAAAATTTCCCTTTCCCAGGACTGAGGCTCTGGAGCTGATGACAGTTGACACAAGTTTTTGAAAGCACTTTGGCAATCTGAAGCAAGAGCCATAAGAATGTTCTACTTTTTTGGTTTTTTTGTTGTTGTTTTTTTATCCTCACCCGAGGATATTTTTCCATTTTTTTGTACAGATAGAGTGGGAGGGAGAGAGAGACAGAAACATCGACGTGAAGGGACACATCGAGTGGCTGCCACCCGCACGACCAACCAGGGCCGGGGACAAACTGCAACCGAAGTACGTGCCCTTAGCGGGAATCGAACCTGGGTCTCTCCGGACCGCAGGCCGACGCTCTAACCGCTGAGCCAAACCGGCCAGGGCTGTTCTACTTTTTGACCCAACACCCCCACTTCTGGGAATCTGTCCTAAGGACAGTCTCCAAATGATTGATACAAAGACTATGTAGTAACATGAAATATTTATGATGTAATGATAAACAAGTCTAGAAGAACTGACCAAGAAATTGGCTGGACATAGTACTAATTGTATTAGAGTAATGAATTTATTAGAGATTCTTTTTCCCAAACTTTACTTTAGAATATTGATCTTACCCTCCTCTGCCACTCAAGGTTAGTCAGGAACCTGGCAGGAACAGCACACTCAGATGAGACAGTTGAAAGTTTAATAAAGGGACTATTCCGTTTCCAGTCCTTTCCACCCTGGTCTCCGCAAAACTCAATGACTCACTCAACAATTATCGAGCATCTACTTATTGTCTAGTGAGGGAGGCAGGCTTTCAAGTACATAAATTATCATAAATGCAATAATAAATACATGAGTTGAGTGCTATAGGAGTGCAAAGGAAGAAGCAAACTGTCCAGAGGAAGGTGTGAATCAAAGAAGGCTTCAAAGAGGGGTGATTGATGCATGTTCAGTTTTGAAGATTGTCTGCTGAAACAAGGTTGTCTGCCACAACATGTACAAAGGCAGAAACGCAAGGCATAACATGGTGCTTTTAGAAAATTACATGTGGCTCTGCAGGGCTGGAAGAAACATTGAGTGGGTGTGAAGAAACTATAGCAGATAGGGCTTTAGTTAGGTCATGCTGAGCGCTGTGCTCCAAGTGGGCTTTGTGTTTTGGAGTTGGCAGATTTGCATTTGAGAGAGATGACTCTGGCCTCAGTGGAGAGAGTGGACTGAATGGGGCAAGAATGGAGGCAGAGAACAGTGAAAAGAAGGGTTTGTGTCTTGGCTGGGTCAGCCAGCAAATACCCTTTCACAGCATTGGCCTCTCCTGACTTATATTTGGCTAGCTCCGTGCCTCCCTGGGACCTCCCTCCCTTCTCCTCTCCAGGGCCCCGCAGGCGGGGAGGCGAGGGGTGGCCCTGCCTGGGTGGTCTCGGGCGCTACCCCCCGCGGCGCCGTTGCCTAGCAGCGGATCCGGCCCCGCGGATCCCGGTAATTTGCGGGCTCTTCAGCCAATGGGAGAGCGTCGCCCCTGCCCTCTCTCTTTTTGTGGGGCTACAGCCGCCTTCTCAGCACTGCTGTCGCCACCTCGAGCAGAGCCGCGCCGGGCGTCGGGGGCTGGTGGCTCTGCAGGCACGCGGGACTCATTCCGGCCACCGCGCGCCCCGGGCCGGCGCCGTCCTGCACTCTTCTGGGTCACAGCCACCGCGGCACGCCTGCAGCCGACCCTCTCCCGAGCCTGTGCCGGAGTGGCCCCGCTGAATCCCGACGCGGGGCCCCGCGGTACAGGGGGATCAGGGCAGCCTATGGGGGCTCCCAGATAACGCGGGTTGGGGGCGCCCAGGGCCCCCATCCCCGCCAGCATGGCTCGGCCGCCACCCCTCGGGGAGCTGCCCCCGGACTACGTACCCCCAGCTAGATCCGCGGCACCCCAGGTGAGTGGAGGGGAAGCTGGAAGAAGGAAGTTTGGGACAGGGTCTGTCGCTCAGGCCTATGCAAGGTGGGATACCTCCAAGTGCCTTGTGTTACTGCCTGCCTGGGAAGTGTGTGTGTTGGGGTGGGGGGTGGGGGGTCAGTTTTCTTTGGCATGTGGCCAGGGAAAGTGTCTGTGGCTTCACCTCTCTCCACCTGAGAACAGGTGTGCATGTATGTAACCTACTCTTAGAGAACGGGTCTCTGCCTTCCTCAGGTGTGTATTGGGTGGGAGGACAGGGAATGGAGTTAAATTGTATTCCATGTTTGGCCCTATGTCTGTGTAGGTCCACCCTGTCCTGCATCTAGAAACAAGAAGATTGGGCTTGTCATAGGGTGTACATAGGGAGACAAGGGAAGGATTTCATGCCTTATTGCAGTAATGCCTACTGACCCTTCTCTTTCCATCCCAGATCCTAGCAGGGAGCCTGAAGGCTCCGCTCTGGCTTCGTGCTTACTTCCAGGGCCTGCTCTTCTCTCTGGGCTGCAGGATCCAGAGACACTGTGGCAAAGTGCTCTTCCTGGGACTGTTGGCCTTTGGGGCCCTGGCACTAGGTCTCCGCGTGGCCACCATTGAGACAGACCTAGAACAGCTCTGGGTGGAAGGTGAGTTGTGGATACTGACCATAGCTGCTTGGGTATGGTGAGCCCAAAACAAGAACAGAGGGTGAAGAGCTGGCTACTGAGTTCTAGTGGGTTTGGCTCTTGGTCTGTAGGGGGCACCTACCCACCAAAGCTTGGCCTCTGGGAGCACTGCTCCCTCCCACACCCATAAATGGATATCTGCAGTTGATGGAGTCTTATGAATAGGTATATAGAATAGTCATCTATAAGTGTGTGTGTGTGTGTGTGTGTGTGTGTGTGTGTTTAGCATTTACTGCCACTTTTTATGTGTATTTGCATGGCAGGGTTTGCAAAGACAACTTTTTAAAAAAGACCCACCTTTTAGTAGCAAGAAAAGTATAATATGTACTGGAATATAATATAAAATATAATACAAAATAGCCCTGGCCAGTTTTGCTCAGTGGTTAGAGCGTCGGCCTGCAGTCCAGAGAGACCCAGGTTCGGTTCCCGCTAAGGGCGCATACCTTGGTTGCAGTTTGTCCCCAGCCCTGGTTGGTTGTGTGGTGGCAGCCACTTGATGTGTCCCTTTCACGTCGACGTTTCTCTCTCGCGCTCGCTCTTCCTCTCTCTCCCTCCCACTCTATCTGAACAAAAAATGGAAAAATATCCTCGGGTGAGGATAAAATATATATATATATAATACAAAGTAGAATGTGATGATGTTGTGTAAGAAAAGACAGGGAGCCCTGGCTGGTTTGGCTCAGTGGTTGGAGCGTCGGCCTGCGGTACAGAGAGACCCGGTTCGGTTCCTGCTAAGGGCACGTACCTTGGTTGCAGTTTGTCCCCAGCCCTGGTTGGTTGTGTGGGTGGCAGCCACTCGATGTGTCCCTTCACATCGATGTTTCTCTCTCTCTCTCTCTCTCTCTCCCTCCCACTCTATCTGAACAAAAAAAAAAGGAAAAATATCCTCAGGTGAGGATAAAAAAAAAAAAAAGAAAAAGAAAAGACAGGGAGAGATCACATCTGACCAGGAGAACCAGAAAAGTTAGAGCTGGAGGGCTGGGGAAACTAAGTAATACCTGGCAGGGCTCCAGGGAGAGGTCCTATGCCCCCAGGGCCTCTGCAACCATTTAGTGCATCTGCACTTTGAAGCAACAGCAGGGTCTGATGGGACCAAATCCTTACTTCCTAGTGGAAGTATTACATAAAAACGATTTCTTATTAATAATTTCAGCATAACTCTTTTCTTTCCTGGGGTCTGGTTTCATATGGCAGCCTTTTAACAGAGTCAGACTCTCCTCTGTTCTTGCCTAAAAATTTGCATTTATAGGTTCCCCCAAACCTCCCCCAGTCCTGGCCCACACCCAAGGGCAGGGCCCAGGTTAGAGTCTCACACCCTTGAGTTATTTCAAATGCTGGCAAGTTCTGGGATCCAGAGCAGATGTTTCTTGGAGCTGGCCTGCCTGCCTGTTGGGCTTCCACACCCCATTCCCACCCTATCCCCAGCCCTCTGCAGACTCTCACATACAAACACACTCCAGGCCAGCCCTGGGGTCCAGGGCAGATGTTTCTCTGTGCCTGCCTGCCTGCCCCCAGCTCCAGGACACACATGTGCATACATGCATATACACACATCCCCACCCACACCACTGCTGCCTGGGTGGTCCCAAATTACTCTCGAATTTCCTGCCAGAATAGAGGCTGTCTCCCCCCTCTTTCTCCTTCTCCATTCCCCAGATCTTCCCCATCTCTACACTGCTTAAACTTCCATATTTCTTCATCTTCTCTCTTACACTCCAGCATAGGACAGGCTAGATCCCGCCAGATTTGCTGCTGTTGGTGGGAGAGTAGTGTAAGAGAGTGGTAGCCAATTCCTAGGACTTTTTCCTTTATTTCAGAACAGCATTCTGTCCTTTGTTGGCTAGGGCTGGGGGTGAGGTAAAAGCAGTGATCTTGACCTGATCTTTTCTCTGTACTTCTGTAGTTGAGGCTTCTCCCAGCAGTGTCCTAAGCAATGAGGGGCTAATCAAGGTGAGGATTGAAAGGTATGCCCCATCCCAGTGGTTCTCGACCTTCCTAATGCCGCGACCCTTTAATACAGTTCCTCTTGTTGTGGTGACCCCCAACCATAAAATTATTTTTGTTGCTACTTCGTAACTGTAATTTTGCTACTGTTATGAATTGCCATTGGAAATATGTTTTCCGATGGTCTTAGGCGACCTCTGTGAAAGGGTCGTTCGACCCCCAAAGGGGTCACGACCCACAGGTTCAGAACCGCTGCTCTATTCTTTTCCACTTTGCTAATACAGAAAGCAAAGAAAGAAGCAAGGCATTGGCTATCAGAGTTCTGAACGGAGTTCAGGGTCCTCTCCAGCTTTGCCACGGTGAGAGTTGGCATGTGACTTGTCCTCCTTGATCAATTTTAAAACAAAGCTAAAGGGCTCAGAAATAGATTGTTAAAATAAGAATCACAACATACAGCCCAACTCGTACTTACAGAAACAGTGCTAGAGATGGTTTGAAATTGGAACTGTCCATGAAAATAAGAAACATAGCCATTCTATCTAGCAGGTAGGGTATGGTCACACATCAGCAGCTGGTGGGATCACCATCCCCTGAAATATTCAAATTTTCTTTCTAAAACCTTGGAGGTCAGCCTCAGTTCTCCTTGCTCACCTAATTGGTTGCTAAACCAACAAACTCTTCCTCCTTACCTTTTCTCATTACAGACTCTCCTTCCCACCTTTGCAGCCACTGTTCTAGTTGAAGCCTTTTTATTTTTAAATTTATTTTTGTTACAGATGTTTCTCCTTTTCCCCCTCAGATACCCTGAAGCCTTTCTTAATGTCTGACAGTGCACTTCTGATGGTATCATTTAGAATGCTTTTATTTTATTTATTTATTTATTTATTTATTTTGGTTCATGCCCCTAGCGGGAACCGAACCCAGGACTCTGTGGTCTGCAGGCTGATGCTCCAACCACTGAGCCAAACCGGCCAGGGCTAGAATGCTTTTAGACACATGAAAGAAAGAAAGGAAAGGAGGGAGGGAGGAAGGGAGAAGATTGACTTCTTATTCCCTGTAACAGGGAATCTGGCAGTAGACAGAAGTTCCAGAATGGTTAATTCAGCAACCTGAGGACATCAGCAAGGACCCAGGTCCTTGCTATCTTTCTCCTCTGCCTTCTTCAGCATGTTGGGCTTTTGTCCTCAGGCTTACCACCTCCTTGTCCTGGCTGCTTCAGTGGCAGAAGAAAGAAGTCAACCCTCTCTTGCATCCCTTTTTGAAAGGGAGGAAAAATTTACCAGAAGCCTCCCAGCTGACTTACCATATGGTCCCTGGCAAAAATGTGCAGCACCCTATGCCTAAATTCTTCACTGGGCAAAGGCAATGGAATTACTGTGATTGATTTCTTAGACTAATCAAATCAAATTTTACCCCCTGAGGCTGAGGAGGGAGGGGCCCAGCTGCCCTGAATCACAAGGCCTTTCAGAGGATGGCCACTGAAATCAAGGTTCCTTAGAGAGGTAACTGATCTGTCCCCCTCACCTTCAAATCTGCCTCCACACTGCCCTCCTGTGGTGTATCTAAATCTTGCCAAGTCAGTCCCCTTCAAGAGTCCTACTGCTTTCTACTACAGTGGTTCTCAACCTTCCTAATACCGCCACCCTTTAATACAGTTTCTCATGTTGTGGTGACCCCCAACCATAAAATTATTTTTGTTGCTACTTCATAACTGAGATTTTGCTACTGTTATGAATTGCCATCGGAAATATGTGTTTTCCGCCCTGGCCAGTTTGGCTCAGCGATTAGAGCGTCGGCCTGCGGTCATGAGAGACCCGGGTTCGGTTCCCGCTAAGGGCGCGTACCTCGGTTGCAGTTTGTCCCCGGCCCTGGTCGGTTGTGCAGGTGGCAGCCACTTGATGTGTTCCTTTCACGTCGATGTTTCTCTCTCTCTCTCTGTTCCTCTCCCTCCCACTCTACCTGAACAAAAAATGGAAAAATGTCCTCGGGTGAGGATAAAAAAAAAAAGGAAATATGTGTTTTCCGATGATCTTAGGCGACCCCTGTAAAAGAGTTGTTCAACCCCCAAAGGGGTCGCGACCCACAGGTTGAGAACCGCTGTTCTACTAGGTTCTGTGGAGGCTCCAGAATCCATTTCAAGCTTCTTACACCCTTTCTAGGCCCTCCACAATCTAACTCTTGATCGTTCTGCATCACTCCCTCTGCCTCCCTCTTAGCAGTCCAGGAACAAGCGTGTGACAGCTCCCTGCACACGCTTGGTCCAGAATGCCTTTTCCTGACTTCTTCGCCTGGCCAACTTCTATTCATCATCCACAACTCAGCTCCAGTATATGTTATTGGGTAGTGAAAGACTCGGGTCATCTCACTTCTCTGCTCAAACCTGCCATGGCTCCTGTTTCACTCAATGATCACCTGAGACCCTACAGTAGCTATATGTGAAATTTCTGGACCAAAGATTATGAAAATTTCTGAGGGTCTTGATATATATTGCAGTATTGCTTTCCCCCAAATTTTGTACCAAATTACACTCCCATGGTAGGTTAGAGTATACTCTTGTAAGCCAGTAATGATTGCTATCAATTTTTATTTTTGCTAATTTGATAGAGTAATTTATTGCTATTTTAATATGCATTTATGGGATTAGCTATAAGGTGAGCTCTTTTTTTTTTTTTTATCCTCACCTGAGGACATTTTTGCATTTATCTTCAGATAGAGTGGAAGGGAGAGAGAGAGAAACATTAATGTGAGAGAGACACATTGAGTGGCTGCCACCCACACGACCCCAACCGGGGCCAGGGACAAACTGCAACCAAGGTACATGCCCTTAGCGTGAACTAAACCTGGGACTCTCTGGTCTGCGGGCCGACGCTCTAACCACTGAGCCAAACCTGCCAGGGCATTGAGCTCTTTTTTCATGCTGGCTAACCAGTTATATTCTCCCTTTTGTATGCATACAAGTTTTTAACAAATGTTGGTTTTGATGTCTCCTCCCATACTCCTACTTCCTCCCCACTCACTTATATTTTTTCTCCAGTTCTTTCTCATTTTTCTCTCCCAGCAACGATTGAATACGTATCAGTGCCTACTACGTGCTGGGCAATTTCCTTCACTGATTCTAATTCTACCAGGGTAGGCATTGTCTTCATTTTACAGATGAGGGCACTGAGGACTAAGTAATTTGCCCCAAGCAGACTGTGTCAGAGCCAAGGCTCAAAGCCAGGTCTCCACAGAGCCTCGTGCTCTCCCTACACCCGCTGCCTGTTCTCGCCCATATGTACATCCCAGTTCATCTGTCCTCCTGTCTGTCATCATCATTGTCAGCTGAGGTTTATCTTTTTCTCTTCCTTGTTTTTTCTGAGGATTCTTTATTCTCTTTGATGTTGTATTTTAAGTTGTCAGTGTTTCTTTCTCCTGCTTTCTTATTAGTTCTCTCTGGGTCCGTCTGCCATGCCTCCTTCCCCTCAGCACACTCGCTTACTGTGGGGAGATTATCTCTGCCCTCCCTCCTGTCCCTCCTTGTGGCCCCTCTGGCCTAAGCTTGGTGAACTAAGCCCTGTAGTGCAGGCGTGGGAGAGCAGTGGGAGTCAGGGAAGGAAGAAAAAGAGTAGGTGGATGCTGTGGCCGGGTGGCTCAGTTGGTTGGAGCATCACCCTGTATACCAAAAGGTGGTGGGTTCAAACACTGAGTAAACTGATCAATGTTTCTGTCTCTCTCTAAAAAAAGAGAGAGAGACAGAGAGTAGGTGCAGGAGGCAGGGTGGCTGTGTGCATGAGGGGAGGGCCAGGAATGTGATTTGAGTTCGGAAGATATGAGCATATAGGTAAATCTGTTTTGGGGATTACCAAGGGTGGGGACTGTCATGAGTGAGAAGATTATGTGTGTTTGAAAAAGAGACTGGAGAGCATGATGATCCCAGGTGTGGCTGGCATCTCAGAGAAGCAGTGCATGTGGGCCCCAGGGGTGGCAGTGACCAACAGGAAGGGGCCCCAGACAGGTAGAGGCAGAAGTCTGACCCAACCATGTCCACAAAGCCTCTGGGGTGGTTTGGCAGTGTCCCTCACCCTCCTCCAACCAGGCAGGTCATATTCCCTCACAGTGGCCTCGTCTGCCCAAGCCCCAGTGACAGATGATCATGGGAGCATAATGCAGGGCGTGAGGAGCACTGAGGTCGAGGAGACTGAGGCAGGCCTGGCACTGGGATGCCCTGTTGTCTAGACAGTGAGACTGGTGAAAGGGATCTGGAACCCTTCTTCCCCTTGGCCCACTTTGCTGTCACCTCTGCCAGGGTCCATGAGCTGATTCCAGGTACCTGTGTGAGTGGACACTGAATGTTGACAGCATTACACTGAAAGACTGTCTGATCCTCCCCTCACCTGCGCCTCCAGTACTCCCATCCCTACCCTTTTGGCAGAATAGTTCACAAAACAGTGGATGGACATAAAATCACTGCCTGGGGCAACTTGAGCTAGGACCCAGCCCCAGCCCAGGTGTGTTCTTTAGGACACCCTCCCACTGGCAGCCTCCCTAATGGCCCCTTTGTCCCTCTTGTCTTTCCTAACAGCTCAGAGAGGAGCCGAGTGAGGGCTCCCTCACCGGGGTACACCCATAACCCCAGCCCTGGCCCAGCTCATACTTAGCTCTCATTTTTAAGTTATTTGCCCCAAACCTAGCCAACCTGGTTTGTGCTTAAATCTTAGACCACACAAGAATTCCATAGGGCCAAAAACTGAGGCTCTGGCTTTCCTGGCAGAACTCCAGATTCTGAGCGGAGAAACAAGCCTGGGGAGTCAGTGTGCCCATCAGGGAGAAGGCGGGGGTTCCCCTTCGCAGCACTTCTCCCGCTTGTCCTGGGAGGTTTCTGGGTTAAAGTCCCACACCCCCTCTTTCCCCTGAGCCTTCTCTTTCTGCTCTGGCAGTGGGCAGCCGGGTGAGCCAGGAGCTGCAGTACACCAAGGAGAAGCTGGGGGAGGAGGCTGCTTACACCTCCCAGATGCTGATACAGACCCCACGCCAGGAGGGAGAGAATGTCCTCACACCTGAGGCACTTCGCCTCCACCTTCAGGCAGCCCTCACTGCCAGTAAAGTACAAGTGTCACTCTATGGAAAGTGAGTCTGGCTGGTCCCCCGAGCAGCTGGGGTGAGGCATGCTGCAGCAAGGCTAGCGTGGGAATCCCCATCTTCTGCTGATTTCCTGTGCCCCTGGCTACTGCAGGTCCTGGGATTTGAACAAAATCTGCTACAAGTCAGGAGTTCCCCTAATTGAAAATGGAATGATTGAGCGGGTGAGTATCCTGAGCTGTTCTCCGAGACTGGGTGGAGGTGGGACCTGTTCTGCAGTAGGGAGGGGCTCAGAGAGACTCTGGGAGGCTAAAGGTCAGGAGATGGGGGGGTTGTAGAGGCATTGTACAAAGGTCATGGAGAAAGGAGCCCAGAGACAAGACTGATGTGGCCTGGGGTGTCCCTGGCAGATGATTGAGAAGCTGTTCCCGTGCGTGATCCTCACCCCCCTCGACTGCTTCTGGGAGGGAGCGAAACTCCAAGGGGGCTCTGCCTACTTGCCGTGAGTGCCACCACAGCTGCTCCCGGGGCCCCGCCTTGTCTCGTGCAGGGACTTCTCCAGCAGAGAAGAGGAGTGGGAGTAAAGATGATCAAAACCTTACCAAGGGTGCCGTGACCTCCCAAGGCAGGGTCAGAACACCGCTGCCCTGGGCTCGCTCCATGTCCCCTGTCTCCTCACTCCAAAGGAAAGGCAAACCTCTTATTTAGGCAGAACAAAATACAAAGATCTGTAAGACCTGAGCAAAGGAGAATAAAGATCCCCAGAAATAGACTGTGCCAGGGAGCGTTAGCTAGTTATCAGCTAAGCTGTTGCCCAGGACCGAAAGAAAACCTGTTAGAAGTAGCTGCCTGTATGGTCATGTGTTAGAACTAAGAGTAGATGGCTTGGGAAGGGACTCAGTGGGGCTTTTCCGAGCCTTTCCCATCTGTCCTGGTGTCCATCTCAGCCCCTTGCATCCACGCACAGCTGCCTGCAGCAACCTGGTGGGCTGGTGCAGCCCGGGAGCTCTCAGGAGCTGAGCTTTGCATTCCCCCCACATGGAGGAGGGTGGGGTACAGCACGGGTCCCTTAGCAGCAGTTTGGAGGATGGGGATTGATCCCTGATTCTCACCAGCCATGGGCTCTCCCCTCAGCGGCCGTCCTGACATCCAGTGGACCAACCTGGATCCCCAACAGCTGCTGGAGGAACTAGGTCCCTTTGCCTCCCTTGAGGGCTTCCGGGAGCTGCTTGACAAGGCACAGGTGGGCCAGGCCTACGTGGGGCGGCCCTGTCTGAACCCCGATGACCTTCATTGCCCGCCTAGTGCTCCTAACCATCACAGCAGGCAGGTGGGTTCCAGCCAGGTCTGCCAGGGAAAGGCCTTTCCCTTTGCCTTCCCCTCCTCTCCTGTTCCTGTCATGGAGAGAGCAGACTGTGCTCTGGGCTCTGCCCTCCATTTCCTGGATATCGTTACCTTGTCCCCACTGTACTAGACACCTAGATGGTTCCATTTTTATTCAGTTCTCCTAAGGAAACCTCAAGTGGCATTTGAATCCCTTTGACCTTTTCTAAACCAGAAAGGCTGGACTTTATCAAAATAGACTTGTACAGGGAAACAGAACAACTTAGCTAAGCACGAGTATCCTACCTAGTTTTCTGAGTGTCTTTGTGGCCTGTGAATGTGAACCTTTTTCTAAAACTAACCTTTTTCGCCCTGGCCGGTTTGGTTCAGCGGTTAGAGCGTCCGCCTGCGGTCCGGAGAGGCCCGGGTTCGGTTCCCGCTAAGGGCATGTACCTCGGTTGCAGTTTGTCCCCGGCCCTGGTTGGTCGTGTGGGTGGCAGCCACTCGATGTGTCCCTTTCACATCGATGTTTCCCTCTCTCTCTCTTCCTCTCTCTCCCGCCCACTCTGTCTGTACACAAAAATGGAAAAATGTCCTCGGATGAGGATTAAAAAAATAATAATAAAACTAACCTTTTTCTAAAACCCACCAGCAGCCTATGCCCAGGCCTCTGCTCCACCTTGTGGCCTCGTCTCTGCAGGACACTAGCTGTTCACTTTGCAGGGGCGGGAACCTTTTTCCTGTCAAGGACCATTTAGATATTTATAACGTCATTCACGGGCCATACAAAATTATCAGCTTAAAAATTAGCCTGCTATATTTGGTCAGGCCAATTTTGTGAGGTGTGTAATGTTAGCTGGTATTCATTTCGTGGGCCTTATATGGCCCTCAGGCTGGGCGTTCCCCACCCCTGGTAGGCAAGAGGCTAGGGGACAGTTATCTATTCCTCAGGTCTGCAGAGCTCTGTAGTTCCTGAAGGTACCAGCCAGGGACACCAGTAATCCACAGCCAGGGCCTTGAGTAATAAACCCCTCCTCTGTCCCCCTCCAGGCTCCCAATGTGGCTCAGGAATTGAGTGGGGGCTGCCACGGTTTCTCCCACAAGTTCATGCACTGGCAGGAGGAATTGCTGCTGGGAGGCATGGCCAGAGACCCCCAAGGACAGCTGCTGAGGTAGGGCCTCCCCTGGGGCTTGGCAAGGAGACCCCAGGCTGGGAACCCACACTCTGATTCCAGACAATTCTGTCAAAAGCCCCCTGCACACCCCACACTGGGTGTTCTGGCCAGCTCTGACACCTGGTTCTCCTGCACCCTCCCCAGGGCAGAGGCCCTGCAGAGCACCTTCCTGCTGATGAGTCCCCGCCAGCTGTATGAGCACTTCCGGGGTGACTACCAGACACATGACATCGGCTGGAGTGAGGAGCAGGCTGGCACAGTGCTGCAGGCCTGGCAGCGGCGCTTTGTGCAGGTCAGTGTGGAAAAGCGCAGGGCGGTGCCTCAGGCCACGCCCTCCTCCCCGCCCTCAATCCACTCTGTCTCTCCAGCTGGCCCAGGAGGCCCTGCCTGAGAATGCGTCCCAGCAGATCCATGCTTTCTCCTCCACCACCCTGGATGACATCCTGCATGCTTTCTCTGAAGTCAGTGCTGCCCGTGTGGTGGGAGGCTATCTGCTTATGGTGGGTCCCACTCCTGGCACCTCGTCCCACCTCCACCTGGTGCCTACCCTGGGAACCCCTGTCCAAGACAGTGTCCTTTCTCCCCACAGCTGGCCTATGCCTGTGTGACGATGCTGCGGTGGGACTGTGCCCAGTCCCAGGGTGCTGTGGGCCTTGCCGGGGTGCTGCTGGTGGCCCTGGCAGTGGCCTCAGGCCTTGGGCTTTGCGCCCTGCTTGGCATCGCCTTCAATGCTGCCACCACCCAGGTACACCAGGACAGCAGGGCAGACTTGGGTGCCCACAGCTCAGGCTACTCGGTTCCTCCAGCTGCCCACCCCTCTACCCCTCCAGGTGCTGCCCTTTTTGGCACTGGGCATCGGCGTGGACGACATATTCCTGCTGGCACATGCCTTTACAGAGGCTCCACCTGGCACCCCTCTCCAGGTGCGGCTTCGCTCTCTAGCCTTGGACTCATCTGAGTCTAGCATAGGGGTTAAGAGCCTCTTGGTTTGGGTGACCTTGGGCTGATAATTGACCTCTCTGTGTCTCAGTTCCCTCACCTGTAAATGGATGTAATAATGGTGCTTGTATTGTAAGGGTCTGTGTGAGCATCAGTGAGATCATTTGAGTCAGGTGCCTAGAACAGTGTGTGACACGCACATGACTCAATGGATGTTAGCTGCTGTGTGGTTATTGTTCCTCCTCTGCCGTCCCGAGTTCGCAAGCCTCCCCTTCACTCTACCTGAAGACTCACGCCCGTCCCCTGTCCTGGCAGGAGCGAATGGGTGAGTGTCTGCTGCGCACGGGCCCCAGTGTCGCACTCACATCCATCAACAACATGGTCGCCTTCTTCATGGCCGCCCTAATTCCCATCCCTGCACTGCGGGCCTTCTCCTTGCAGGTGAGGCTGCACGAGGGCCCAGGCTCGGGGTGGGCATGGAGCTGGGGGCATGCGTCATGCAGCCTTTGCGCCCTCCCTGTCCTTCCCCCAGGCGGCCATCGTGGTTGGCTGCAACTTTGCAGCCGTGATGCTTGTCTTCCCAGCGGTCCTCAGCTTGGACCTGCACCGGCGCCACTGCCAGCGCCTTGATGTGCTCTGCTGCTTCTCTAGGTACTGTCCGTGCACCCTAACTCCCATCCCACCAGGCTTTCCTCCCTAGGCTCCACCCATCCTGTCCCCTCACTAGCATTTTCAAGCATAGACCTGTCACCCCATCTCTCTGCCTCTTTCAGCCCCTGTTCTGCTCGGGTGATTCAGATTCTGCCTCAGGATCTGGCAGACAGGACAGTACCAGTGGGCATTGCCCACCTGACTGCCACCATTCATGCTTTTGCCCACTGTGAAGCCAGCAGCCAGCATGTGGTCACCAGCCTCCCTCCCCAAGCCCACCTGGTGCCCCCACCTTCTGACCCACTGAGCTCTGAGCTCTTCAGCCCAGGAGGGTCCACAAGGGACCTTCTGGGCCAGGAGGAGGGGACAAGGCAGAAGGCAGCCTGTAGGTCTCTGCCCTGTGCCCACTGGAATCTTGCCTATTTTGCCCGCCACCAGTTTGCGCCCTTGCTGCTCCAGTCCCACGCCAAGGTAAGACTCCAAGCCTGGAGGAGTGGGGGTGGGCCAGGGCAGAGGTTTAGGTGTCTCTGGGCCTCAAGAAGGGCAGGGGGCCTAGCCCACCATCTGCTGGCTGGGAGCATCCCTGGGCCTCCACCTGAGCTGCCATTTCCCACAGGCTGTGGTGCTGGTACTGTTTGGGGCTCTTCTGGGCCTGAGCCTCTACGGAGCGACCTTGGTACAGGACGGGCTGGCCCTGACAGATGTGGTGCCTCGGGGCACCAAGGAGCATGATTTCCTGAGCACCCAGCTCAGGTACTTCTCCCTGTACGAGGTAGCCCTGGTGACACAGGGTGGCTTTGACTACGCCCACTCCCAACGCGCCCTCTTTGATCTGCACCAGCGCTTCAGTTCCCTCAAGGCCGTGCTGCCCCCACCTGCCACTCAGGCACCCCGCACCTGGCTGCACTATTACCGCAACTGGCTACAGGGTGAGAGGCAGGGAGACTGGCAGGGAGGGCTGCTGCAGGCAGAAGCCGCAGAGCCACAGGCTAACTGCACCCTTCCCTGTTCTCCCCTAGGAATCCAGGCTGCATTTGACCAGGACTGGGCTTCTGGGCACATTACCCACCACTCATACCGCAATGGCTCTGAGGATGGGGCCCTGGCCTACAAGCTGCTCATCCAGACGGGTGATGCCCAGGAGCCTCTGGATTTCAGCCAGGTTGGGAGAGGGCTGGAAGGGTCTGGGAGCACAGAAGGTTTCCAGGCCTCACAGGCCCAGGCCTTCAGCCCTCCCTGCCTCTGCAGCTGACCACGAAGAAGCTGGTGGACAAGGAGGGGCTGATTCCACCCGAGCTCTTCTATGTGGGGCTGACCATGTGGGTGAGCAGTGACCCCCTGGGCCTGGCAGCCTCGCAGGCCAACTTCTACCCCCCGCCTCCTGAGTGGCTGCACGACAAGTACGACACCACTGGGGAGAACCTTCGCAGTGAGTCCTGGGGGGGCCAGCAAGAGCCTCGGCCTGGGCCCACACTGGCCCTACTCTAAGGCCCTGCCCGCTGCTCCCTGAGCTCACTGGCCACCCCTCCCTCTCCTTGCCACCCCCTCCCCTCCACAGTCCCGGCGGCCCAGCCCCTGGAGTTTGCCCAGTTTCCCTTCCTCCTGCGTGGCCTCCAGAAGACTTCGGACTTTGTGGAGGCCATCGAGGGGGCCCGGGCAGCGTGCGCCGAGGCAGGCCAGGCTGGGGTGCGTGCCTACCCCAGCGGCTCCCCCTTCCTCTTCTGGGAGCAGTATCTGGGCCTGCGGCGCTGCTTCCTGCTGGCTGTCTGCATCCTGCTGGCGTGCACCTTTCTCGTCTGTACGCTGCTGCTGTTCAACCCCTGGACAGCTGGCCTCATAGTGAGTCTTTGTCAGGTGGGGGCCAGAGGGACCCATGTCTTCCCCATCCTCTCCTGTGCATCCCATCCTCCTTCCTCCCGGGAGCCCTCGGTGAGCTCTGCCCTCCCCAGGTGCTGGTTCTGGCATTGATGACCGTGGAGCTCTTTGGCATCATGGGTTTCCTGGGCATCAAGCTGAGTGCCATCCCCGTGGTGATCCTGGTGGCCTCTGTGGGCATTGGTGTCGAGTTCACAGTCCATGTGACTCTGGTGAGCACAGGCATTGGGAGAGGGGTGAGCAGCCGTTCGGAATGCAACAGATGTTTATCAAGCACCTACTGTGTACTGGGGGCTACTTGAGAATTTGGGATATAATAGCAATACAGGCTTTACCTTCAACAAGCTTATATTTTAGAGTGTAGTGGTAAACAAGTGAGCAAACAAATAAATAAGCAGCCATTTCAGTAGAGGAGAGGGACAAAGCCCTGACCAGAATGGGATGAGAACAGAATGGAAAGAGAGAAAATGGGAACCATTGATTCTTTTGAGTGGTTTTACTGTGAAGGGGATCAGAGAAGCGGGATGGCAGCAGATGGCTGTGTGGGTAAAGGAGGGCTTCTGCCAAGCCTGAGGTGGGAGAACTGAGGCAGGCACAGGCCTGGCAAAGCAGAACAGGAGTGGGAGGTAGAGGAGGCCACAGACCGGCTGGAGGCACCAGCACAAACCTGGCCAGACCCCACAAACAGCTCGTTTATTCCTCCTCCTATACTAGGCCGATTATTACTCTGAACAATCCTTTGCTGGGGGCAAGGGGATTAAGTCAGCACGCAGAAAAGTACAAAGAATAGAAATTCTTTGAAATGCCACCCTGAGAAGTAATGTATTACTCTGGTGTCCGTCCTCCTAGACCAGGGGACATCAAAGGACAGCAGATGTTTTCTATAAAGGTCCAGATGGTAAATATTTTAGGCTTGGTGGGTCATATAGTCTCTATTGCAACTCTGCCATTGTAGCATTAAAGCAGTCACAAACAATACAGAAGTAAATGGGTATGGCTATGTTTAAACAAAATTTTATTTACAAAAATAGGTGATAGGCTGTAGTCTGCCAGCCTATTCTAGTCTTTGCTCTGTGTCTCACCAGACACATCTGCAGTGTTACCTAAATGGACTCATGCATGCTGCCTGGACAGTTCCCAGGAACTTAGCTCACCTGGCCTTCTGTGGGCCAAGACATGGGTAACGCCCAGGGACAGCTGAGCAGAAGTTGGGGACATAGAAGCTGGCTGTGGTTGGCTGAGGAGCAGCTCCAGGACCACTTTATTCCCTCAGGGCTTCCTGACCACCCAGGGTAGCCGGAACCTGCGGGCTGCCCGGGCCCTAGAGCACACATTCGCCCCGGTGACCGATGGGGCCGTCTCCACATTGCTGGGTCTCCTCATGCTTGCTGGTTCCAACTTTGACTTTATCGTAAGGTAGGGGAGGGCTCCGGACAAGGAGGCAGGGTATGCCTGTGCTGACCTCAGGGCCTACCCAAGCTGACCTCCCATCCCCACCAGGTACTTCTTCATGGTGCTGACAGTGCTCACACTCCTGGGCCTCCTCCATGGGCTTGTGCTGCTGCCTGTGCTGCTGTCCATCCTGGGCCCCCCACCAGAGGTGACCATACCCTCCCTCTGCTCCTAGCCCAGGGGGCGAGATGGGACACACAAGGGAAGGGACAGAGCCAGGACAAAATGACTTCAGTGGCCAAGGACCCTCCCCGGGAAGGGCTACCAACTGAAGGTGGCAGCCTCTCACTTTGCCCAGACATCATGCCCCTACCCCTCATCTTTCCTGGCTTCTTTATAGAATCCATCTTAGCCTTTAGGGTCCAGAGCAAAGTGCATGGTTGGTCCTGGGCCTTGGCATCCTATCCCTTGGCAGCTGTCACATCCTGCTGGAGGCCGACAAGAGCCCCAGCTTCCCAACAACCATGGGGATGCACCAGGGAGGTGCTGACAGGGATTGAGGCTCTGGCTCCAGCTCCTGGGCTCACTGGGGCTGGTGTCTCCCACTAGGTGGTACAGATGTACAAGGAGAGCCCGGAGATCCTAAACCCCCCGCCTCCACGAGCAGGAGGGCTCAGGTGGGGGTTGTCCCCCACCCTGCCCCAGAGCTTTGCCAGAGTGACTACCTCTATGACCATGGCCCTCCACCCACCCCCGCTTCCTGGTGCCTACATCCACGCAGCCTCTGATGAGCCTACTTGGTCCCCTGCTGCCACACTGGCTGCCAACGGCTCCAGCAACCTCACTTCTAGGGGACCATGTCCAGCCACTGAGTGAAAGAGCAGCTGAAGCATGGAGACCCTGCTTGGACCCCATGAAGTCACTGGAAAGCAATGGGTGGGTTTCTGAATGCAGGCGGACTCCTGGGAGCTCTGCTGCTGCTGCCTGCCTGCACGCCCTCCCTGACTCGCCATCGCAGACCTCCCTGATAGCGATACAAAACCAGCGCCCTCTAGGCTGTGAGCAGCCTTCCACACCAGGTCCCGTGTGCCTGTCCCTGTGTCTGGGTAGGAGTAAAAGCCAACACTCAGGCTGCCACCCCACCCCCACACTGCTGCCCCCAGCAGACCAAGCTTGAGGGATCCTCTAGCACCCTTTGCCAGTCCTGGCCCCCCACTGCTTGGTGACTCCTGGGTAGGTTCTCTGTATCCCTGCCTACCTCCTACCACATAAATTATTTATATGAAGATGTTTATTTTTGTAGTTTGTACAGAAGTTAGCTATGCCGAAAGTTTTAAAGAGTGAAATATATTCTATATGAACTCATCTTAAATGACTTTGATGCTTTTCTTTCCAAGTTGGGGGTTTGCAAGTAGAAATGTCAGAACCTAAGGTCCTAGGGCTACTCTATTCCTGGGTGGGAAAGGCCCCAGGTTCAAAATTTTTGTCACATGACTATAGTCTTTTTTTTTTTTTAATGTTTTTAGTGATTTTCTAGAGAGAGAGGAAGGGAGAGAAAGAAACATCGATGGGAGAGAGAAACATCAGTCGCCTGCCTCCTGCACGCCCCCCACTGGGGATCGAGTCTGCAACCCAGGCATGTGCCCTGACTGGGAATCTAACCGGGACCTCTCTCAGTCCAAGGGCCGATGTTCAATCCACTGTGCCACACCGACCAGGCTGTAGTCTATTCGCTTGTAAGTGAAAATGATGTTCAGCAAACATTGTGTTGATCATATACTTGGTAATGGTCTGGGTTAAGTGCTTAGCATATAAAGTGACGTGTTTTTGGTGACTTTCAGAGCCATCATAATCCAGCCCTGATGTTCAGAGGGCTGAACTTCATCAAACTCATCGCCCACCCTCCTGTTTCAGCAGCATATGGGGCATGGGTGAGGGGCACAGCCCTGCAGCAGATGGGAAGTAAAATGGAAGATCAGGAAAGTAACCAGTTGAAGAGATGGAACAGCAGGGTCTGGGGAGATATTTTAGTAGTTTTGTGCCCAGACCAACCTCCAAGACAGAGGCCTCTGCAAGTCAGCAGTCAGCCTGGCGCCCCAGAGGCATCTTTGGCCAGACACCCAGGGGATCAGTACAGGAACTGTTCAGAAATTGTGCTAGGAACCAGTGAGGCACTGTATTTAAACTGTTTGTTCTGTGAAGGTTGAACACCCCCACTGCACAGAGGTCTTGAAGACTCTGGCACACCCCTGGGCTAGAGTACAGTGCCTCACCCCATGGGGTGAGGGGGTGAGGAGTCTTTTACCGCCTTTCCCCAACTATTCCAGGGCTCAGTCTCAATTGACACACGTGCACACCCGGGTTCCAGTCACCCATTCACCAGGAACAATCCCACCCTGAGAGCACTGCCTTCTCATACCACCCCACCACCCCAAAGGCCAATCATGTTCTGACCAAAAGCAAAAAAATAACTAAATAGGCCTAATGCAGCTGAATCAACACTAAAAATACCTTACAAAAAAAAAAGAAGTGAGTAGTTGGTTTTGAACCTAGATTAGGAAGTGCATCCAACACGTCCAAGGGATGGAGGTTGGCTGGATTTTGGTCCAGGAGTGTTTGGGTCACTAGGAAGGGCTTTTGGGCCGAGCAGGAGAGCTCACCAGGCTGGAACAATGTAAAAGCTGTCAGCCTACTGTGCCTCTCAACAGCCCAGTGACCTGTGAAAGTTCACTAACCTCACTGAGTCTCAGCATCTTCCTGTGAAATGGGAAGATGAGTCTATTTTGTAGGGTGCTTTCTCAGAATTTTAAATTAAATTCTTTATTTAAAAAATATAATAATTTTTCACCCAGCCGGTGTGGCTCAGTGGTTGAGCATTGACCCATGCACCAAGTCGCTGGTATGATTCCTGGTTGGGGCACATACCCAGGTTGTGGGCCAAATGGAGGGCAAGCAGGAGGCAGCCGGCCAGTTGATGTTCTCTCTCATCGATGTTTTCATCTCTTTCCCTTTCCCTTCCTCTCTCTCAAAAACCAATTTAAAAAAAAGTTTAAAAAAAATAATTTTTCTTTATTGATTTGAGAGAGAGAGGAAGGGAGAGTCATCAATGAGAGAGAACATTGATCAGCTGCCTCCCTCACAGCCCCCACTGGGGATCAGGCCCACAACCTGGGCATGTGCCCTGGCCTGGAATCAAACCTGCAGCCTCTTGGTGCATGGGTCGAAACTCAACCACTGAGCCACATCAGCTGGGCATAAATGAAATTCCTTTTGTAAGAAATGACCTAGCATTCATAAGTTCTCTCTATTTTGGTAGTTTGTTAGCTTTGTTGAAAGATTTTGCTCTGATTGCATGCTTAGCGAAAAACTCTGAAACGGAATGAAGGGTGTGTCCTGGTATGGCAGCAGCTGAAGGGATTCCAGCCAGTTGGAGCTCCACCACCGCAGGCGTGGTCAGCCCTGGGGCACTGACCACATCCAGTCTCTGGGACACGTCCCACTCCTTTCAGGGCAGTGCACCCTTTGGGACACCTCACACTGCTCAGCCCTCTGCCTTCAACACCCTTTCACCCCTCTCCATCACTGACAAGATGAAATCCAAGCCATCTCCAGGCCCAACTCCACTGAGCCTCTGCCTCACCCCAGCTCTCTGTGACCGCCCGGCCGGACACGCCCTCATTCAGACACACCACACTGTCCATAAACTGAGTTACTTTCAGTGCTCACCTCCCATAATTTCACACACGCCATCCCCTCTGCTAGAACACTGTTCCACCTCCCCTTCACTGAACTACCCTTCAAGATAAATTGAACTCCATCTCCTTCAGGAGTGGTGGTGTTGCTATATCTCTTACGTGGTCCTACTGCCCTGAGTGTCTGTGCTGGACAGTCTCTGCTTCTGACCCTAGAACTAACTGTGGAGGCCCTGCGTGTATTGAATGAGAGGACTGAACCTCAACGATTGGGATTTACTTAATCCCAGCCTCGTAAGGAACTAGGCACCCGGCACTGGCGGGAATCGGCCTTCCTCTTCGAGCAAACCGGTCCGGGCTCCCGGGCGGACCTGCGCTGAAGCGAGGAAGAGCTGCGGCGCCGGGGTCCCGACGGCGCCGCCCCGCGGGGACAGCTGGTGTCGCGGCCCAGCCCGGAGCTGCCTGTGATTTGCATACCCATGGTGCACCACGAAAAACAGTTCCCGGCGTTTTGTCCCAGCCCCTCGGGAATCTGCCCACTGTTGCGAGGCACACTGCCTGCTAGAAATGTACGGTCTCTGGAGCGCCAGGCTGGGAGCGCGGGCCGCGCAGGCACTAAACAACCATAAGTGTTCTGAGGGATAGCTTGCTCTAAGCAATTCGAGCTGAAGTTGGTAAACATACTCTGGTTTCTCTTCAGATCGCATAAATCTTTCGCCTTTTACTAAAGATTTCCGTGGAGAGGAACAATTATGAGTTTATACTCAATTTTTTGAGGCCTCGCTTACGCGAGGCTATCTAAGAATGGTTTTAAAAAAAGAATTTGCAAGTTAATCTTAACAGTTAAGTTTTTAATATCATTGAGACAACGTGTCTTGTTCCTGATAAATTCAGGTTATACACTTTATATGCTTTTTAACAGTACTACTTGTAGGTCCCACAGAAAATAAACCCAAATTCATTCCAGTCTGCAGATCCCATTCCTGTCGACTTCCACATTCAAACCATGCTTCATAAAGCCACGTGTTATTTCCTGGGTCCAAGAGTTCTCTTGATGGATTCCCGCAATAGGCTTCTCTGTAACAGGTCTCTTTAGCTGCCCTATATTTCCCCATTTCCCCAGGCTGGGATTGAGCCTGCAATCCAAGTACCATTTCCTTGCGACCCTTGGTGGGGGCGGGTGGGCTGGGGGCTCTAACCATTGAACCACATTGGCCCGGGTATAAAGAGGCACACTTTTAAATATATATTGACTTTAGAGAGAAAGGGAGAGGGAGGGATTAGAAATCATGCCCCCTACTGGGGATCGAGCCTGTAACCCAGGCCTGTACCCTGACCTGGAATTGAACCAGTGACCTCTTGGTGCATAGGACAAAGCTCAGTCCACTGTCACACCGGCTAGGCAAGAGGCACACTTTTTTTAGAGTGGGAGGGAGGGAGAGTGAAACATCCTCGTGAGAGGGATACATTGATAGGTTGCCTCTGGCAGGACCCTGACCACATGGCAACAAAGGTACGTGTGCTTGGCTGGAATCCAAACCGCTACTCATTGGTCCCCTGGCCCATGCTCGAACTGCTGAGCCAACCCGGCCAGGGGCATGAGGCACACTCTTAATCATTGTGCAACTGGTGGAGTTCAGGACATGCAACCCCAAAATAGAACATGTGGGCATATTGAATATCTTAAACTGAAGGAATTTGAAAAATAGGAAAGTCCTTTTGACCTTTCCTGTGCTCACTCTACTCCCTTCTCCCTAAAAACAGGTCATAAAATCCTCAAGTGAGAGGAACCCTCCCTGTACCAGGAGGAAACGTACCATCTTTATCTCCAAAGACAAAGGGAGTCCCTCCAAGAAGAATCCTAACCAAAAGGTCTTGCTGTTTCTCCTAGTTACACTTACCTCATACTCTGTAACCTATCATATTTCTCTACAACTATCTGCTCTTCATCAAAGATAGCATAAAGCCCTGGCCGGTTTGGCTCAGCGGTTAGAGCGTTGGCCTGCGGTCCAGAGAGACCCGGGTTTGGTTCCCGCTAAGGGCACGTACCCGGGTTGCAGTTTGTCCCCGGCCCTGGTTGGTCGTGCGGGTGGCAGCCACTCGATGTGTCTCTTTCACGTCGATGTTTCTCTCTCTCTCCCTCTTCCTCCCAATCTATCTGAACAAAAAATGGAGAAATGTCCCTGGGTGAGGATAAAAAAAAAAAGCTAGCATAAAAATATTCAGGTTTAACCTTTTCTTCCAGTCTTCATTTCCTTAGGAAGGCTCCTGTGTCATGTAAAACTTAAATAAATTTGTATGCTTTTCTCCTGTTAACCTTTGTCAGTTTAATTTCAGACCCAGCCAGGGACCCTACGAGGGACAAAGGAAACTGTTTCCTCTCCAACACTACCTTTTATTTTAGCAAAAGAATTTGTAAATGAAAAGGGGGCACCATAATAAATCTTACTGAAAGTAACCTGACAGGGTGATCTGGTCATAAAATCCTAACTGGGCAGGTCAGTGTAGGTAGTCACGCCCCAGGCCCATTCCTCTAGTAAAATGCATATCTTGCTCTGGCCAGTTTGGCTCAGCGGTTTGAACGTTGGTCCTTGGACCAAAGAATCAAGGGTTCAGTTCTGGTCAAGGGCATGTACTTCAGTTGTGGTTTGGTCCCCAGCCCTGGTTGGGGTCGTGTGGGAGACAACCAGTTGATGTGTCTCTTTTATATCGATGTTTCTCCCCGCCCCCCTCCACTCTATCTGAAGATAAATGGAAATAGATCCTCAGGTGAGGATTAAAAACAAAACCAGCTTATCTTTTTCCTTAAGCAAGTCCTGTCTCCATGTTTCTGTACATCTAGGTTAACACAATTTTGAAATAAGCTGTAACCACACTCAAGAACTCACATAGCCCGGCCAATGTGGCTCAGTGGTTGAGCATCAACCCATGCACCAAGAAGTCACCAGTTCAGTTCCCAGTCAAGGCACATGACAGGGTTTTGGGCTCAATCCCTGATGGAGCGGGGTGGGGTGCAGGAGGCAGCCTATTGATGTTCATCTCTCATCAATGTTTCTATCTCTCTCTCCTTACTTCATCTCCCTAAAAAACAATAAAAACATTTTTTTAAAAAAAGAATGCATATAATCTAAACTATCCTGTAATCCAGTTCCCACCTTGCTTTCTCTCACTTTCTTGCAATCTTCCTTTAATTCCCTCGTTGCCCAGCCCAAGTGGCTCACTGGTTGAGCATCGACACATGCACCAAGAGATCATCGATTCAATTCCCCGTCAGGGCACATGCCCAGATTGTGGGCCTGATCCCCAATGGGGGACATGCAGGAGGTAGCCAATCGATGTTCTCTCTCATCGATGTTTCTATCTCTCTCTCCCTCTCCCTTCCTCTCTCTCTAAAAATAAAAGAAGGAAAAAAAATTGTTTAATTTTCTCCTTAAATCCAAATGTGGCTCAAATAAAATCTTATAAATTCTCTACAGGTTTGGACATTTCTAACAGTGACAGATCCACGCTCTACTTGGTCTGCACTATTTTTTTCACCAAAGATCACGGATATCTTTTTTTAAAATGGTATATCCACTTTATTTTATTTTTATCCTCACCCAAGGGCATTTTTTGCATTTATCTTCAGATAGAGCGGGAGAGAGAGAAACATCGACGTGAGAGACACATTGACTGGTTGCCACCCACGTGATCCCTACCCGGCCAGGGACAAACTGCAACCGAGGTACATGACCTTAGCGGGAACCAAACTCGGGTCTCTCTGGTCTGTGGGCTGATGCTCTAACCGTTGAGCCAAACCGGCCAGGGCTAGATATCTTTTTATACCATTATAGGAATATACCATAATTAATTTAACCAGTCCTCTAGGTTAAACCAATCCTCTAGGACATCTAGGTTGTTATCAGTTCTCATCACCTAAACACTGCTGTCATGAAGTGGTACTGTTTTGATTTTTGTTTTCTTTATTGATTTTAGAGAGAGAGGAAGTGAGAGGGAGAGATAGAAACCATCACTGAGAGAGAACATCAATTGGCTGCCTCCTGCATTCCCCCTACTGGGGATTGGGCCTACAACCTGGGCATGTGTCCTGATCGGGAATCGAACCTTCGACCTCTTGGTACATGGGTCGACACTCAGCCACTGAGCCACACTGGCTAGTACCGTGAAGTGGTACTCTTTTTTGTTTTGTTTTTTTATAATAAGGAAACTGATCAATTAATTTTTATTTTATTTATTTTAGTACATGCCCTTAGGGGGGCTGAAACCGGGACTCTCTGGTCTGCAGGTCAACCCTCCAACTGCTGAACCAAACCGGTTAGGGCTGAAGTGGCACTGTTAATCGTGTGCACAACATTATCTTTTGTACAAAAATCCCTGAGATAGAAGTCTAATTTAATTTTCTTCCAAATAGTCTATTCTCCTTCATTTTAGATTGACAATATTTTGTTTCACAGCTCTTTTAAACTATGGAATAAAATAACTTTTAAATTAAAAAATGTCATCACTGAACATTTACAGACTACTGTTTAAGTGATAGGGACTGGGACACAGAAATTAACAAAGCCCCACTCCAGATCCCAGGGATCTTTCTCCAGGGAGATTCAGGCCCTCAGGAAGACCAAAATTTGTAATGCATGAAAGACTAGCATGGCCCTGGCCGGTTTGGCTCAGTGGTTAGAGCGTCGGCCTGCGGTCCGGAGAGACCCGGGTTCGGTTCCCGCTAAGGGCACGTACTTCGGTTGCAGTTTGTCCCCGGCCCTGGTTGGTCGTGTGGGTGGCAGCCACTCAATGTGTCCCTTCACGTCAATGTTTCTCTCTCTCTCTCCCTTCCTCTCTCTCCCTCCCACTCTATCTGTACAAAAAGTGGAAAAATATCCTCGGGTGAGGATAAAAAAAATAAAATAAAATAGACTAGCATGGGGAGTCTTCAATAACCAAGAGAGTAAATCCAGAGCTAGAGGACTAGTGCCTTCAGGGCCAGTGATAAGCAGATAGTTGAAAGAAAAGCTGCTATTATTTGAAACCACTAGTAAAATTTGAGTACCCTGAAAGCAAAATAGATTATATTTTGTCCTGAGGGCAATGGACATGATGAGCGACTCAATAAGGGGAGTGAAGGCTGACAATCTTAGCTAAGTCTAGCAGCAGAGTGGGAAATGAATTTGGGGAAAAGGGGGCGCTAGAATGAAGGCAAGAAGACTAATTAGAGTCTGTTGCAATAAATCCTGCCAAAGATAGGATTGAACTGGGGCTGAAAGAGTTAAAACAGCTGTAGAGATATTGGAAAGAAGGAAAAATAATTTTTCCTCTACTCTGAGGTCTTGGCTGAGACCCCTGTAATAAAAAACAGATTAACAAGAGAAAAACAAACAAGTTTATTAACATATATACTTCATGTATACATAGGAGATAACCAGGGAAAAATTAGTAACTTCCTGGTGTGGCCTAAAATGCCCGCTTAGAAACCATCTTCAACTAAAGACAAAAAAGAAAAGGGAGGTAAGATTCTCTTTTTTCTTTTTTGGTACATGCCCCTAGCGGGAACCAAACCTGGAACGCTCTGGTCCGCAGGCCTATGCTCCAACCGCTGAGCCAAACCAGCCAGGGCTGATAAGATTCTCTTGAGTTAGTCATCCTTTTCCTGGTACTAAGAGGGAGGCACCCTTACAAATGAAGATTTCCTTTATGAATAGAAATTTCCCTTACGAAAAGGGTTACTTCTACTCTGTTTTCAGAGCTTCTCCTGTTTCTCAAAATAATCAGTTTAAAATAATCCTTATGCCCAAAAGGCATATTTTGGCTTGGCATATTCTGCTACCCTTCAGTCTCTTAGAAGGTAGAAGCCAGGAGAAGCAGATGGGAATAAGACCCAGGTTTCTGGCTTCGGCACTCAGGGAGATGAGAAACACCGCGGAGTCAATACTGGGGAAAGATGAGAAAGCCCAATTTTGAACTGAGTCTGAGGTGTTCGTGGGGCATTTACAAAGCGAACTCCAGGAGGTAGGTCTGGAATTAAACAAGGGGCTGAGCCGAAAAGCTAGGATATACTGTAGTTATAAGAGTAACTGGGGCGAGAATGCCCAGGGTCCCAGTGTAGAGTCAGGTTGTGGTGGGGGGGAAAACGACTTTGGTTTTTAACCTAGCTTGGACGCTGGGCCCAAGCCCACGCCCTTTCCTCCCCCTCCACCCTCCTCCCCCTCCTCCCCTCCTCCCCCTCCTCCCGTCCAACCGTCCGCCCGTCCTTCTCCCTCCACCCCTTCCTCCCCCTCCACCCTCCTCCCCTCCTCCCCCTCCTCCCGTCCAACCGTCCGCCCGTCCTTCTCCGCCCCAACCACAGAGCTTCTGGCCAGACAGCAGTTCTTCCCGCGCCCCGCTCGCGAAGCATGCTGGGAGCGGAAGCCCGCACAGAAGACCGAGCCTGTCGGGAGATGTAGTTTAGGACAGACCCAGAATTCCTCGCAAGACTTGGTCTTTGGTCACTTAAAGGGCAAGTCCAGAAAGCGGTGATGCTCCCGGGGCAGGGTGCCCCTGCGGCGGCGGCACGAGGCACCTTGGGCCGCATCTCCTCTCCGCAGAGCGTGGCATTTCCACGCCTCCACGATCTGCTCCACCTGCAGGGGAAGGAAAGTCACCGTGGAGTCCCGCAGTGCCCAGCTCATCCCGCAGTGCCCCTCACCCCGAAGAACCTGCCCCCCCCCCCCCGCGCCTTCCCCCCTCGCCGTTGAGTGGATCTGAGCCTGGTTCCTCGCGTCCGCACCGGGATGAGCGGCTCCCTCCGGTTTTGCTCTTCCAGGGCACTCAGCTCCGCCGGGGCCAGCAGGGCCAGTCTCAGCTCCCGTACCACCGGGGCCGCTACCTCGGCCACAGGCCTCTCCAGCACCGCCTGCGAACACCAGCCCTGAGCGCCGACGGGCGGGGGCTCCTGGCCCGCCGCCTGCCGCCTGCGCAGGCTTCCTGCGGCCCGACCCTTCAGCCCCCTCAGCCCGCGCTCCCCTTCGCCCCACTCACCGCGCCCACGCGCGCCCAGCTCCGGGCCGCTAGGACGAGTTCAGCCTCGTCCACGCAGAGCTTGTCACTGCGCAGCAGGGACAGCAACGCGGGCGCTGACAGCTCCAGGAAGCCTTGGGTCCGAAGTACCTCCTGTGGGCCCGAGAATGGGTCAGGGAGGAGCAGAATGAGGTGTGTGGAATTGTGAAGATGAAAATGGGGAGCTGGCCCGGCTGGTGGTTGAGCGTGGACCCATGCACCAAGAGGTCCCGTTGGATTCCCGGCCAGGGCCCAGGTTGTGGGCCCAGTCCCCAGTGGGGAGCGTGCAGGAAGCAGCCAATCAGTATTCTCTTTCATCGATGTTTCTTTCTCTCTCTCTCTCCCTCCCCCTTCCTCTCTCTAAAAATCAATAAAGAAAAAAAAACATTTTTTTTTTTAAGGAAGAAAAGAAAATGGGGAGTGGTACCTGGCAGTGGGCCTCTATGAAACGTATGCAACGCTCATGCAATGGTCCCAGGCCAAAGGTTACAGCCACCTGGGTGTTGAATATGGGAGATAGAGTTCGAGATGAGAGCCCAGCCCTCCACAATGGCGACTACCTGCCTGGTCCAGCAACACCCACCTGCAGGGCCTCACAAACCAGCTCCACGTCCAGCACTTTCACCACAAATTCCAGGCATAGCTGGGAAGAGAAATGAATGTGGGTTGTGCAGAGGTATCCTTGCTCCCAGACCCAAACCCATCCAGAAGCAGTGGGCAGGCTTGGAGCAATCAACCACCCAGGCTCCTAGTAGGCACAGGTCCATTGACTTCCAGGCCAGAAGAGACAGGGAATCACCAGGGCCTAAACCTTGGCAAGCCAAATCCACGAGCCCACCTTCTAGCACATTCCTCACTAATCAGACTAGATAAGAGCCATGCAAAAATTCCACTCTCCCTTTCACTCAGGAAGCTTATCTTACTCTGCTTGTCCCCCTCGTGACTTAAAGACACTCAAAAACAGAAGTAGAAACTTGAATTTCATCCCTGATAGCTCCCTCTCATCCTTACATCCAGAAAAAGCACTGAACTGGTTGGTTGAGCATCAACCCATGCACCAAGAGGTCGCCAGTTCAATTCCTCCTCAGGGCTCATGCCTAGGTGGCAGGCTCAGCCCCCAGTTGGGGGCATGCAGGAGGTAGTTGATAAGTAGATATTTCTCTCTCATTGATGTTTCTATTTCTCCCTCTCCCTTCCTCTCTCTAAAAATCGATAAAAACATATTTTAAGTCCTGGCTGGTTTGGATCAGCAGTTGGAGCGTCAGCCCAGGGACCAAAGAATCTCGGGTTCAATTTCAGTCAAGGGCATGTACTTTGGTTGCGGTTTGGTCCTCTGGCCCTGGTCTGGGTCTTGCGGGGAGGCGACCAATAGATGTGTCTCTCTCACTTTGATGTTCCTCTCTCTCTCTCCCTCCCCCTCCCTCTCTATCTGAAGATAAAATGGAAAAATACCCTTAGGTGAGGATTAAAAACAAACATATTTTAAAATAATAATAATAACGCACTGAATCATGCCACTTCCACTTCTCTCAAAGCCATGAAATGCTCCCTCTCCCTTCCTCTCTCTAGAAATCAATAAAGGAAAGAAAAAGAAACATCGCCCTGGTCACTTTGGCTCAGCGGTTAGAGCGTGGGCCCCGCGGACCAGAGAGTCTGAACTTCAGTTCCCACTAAGGGCACATACCTTGGTTGCAGTTTGTCCCTGGCCCTGGTTGGAGTTGTGTGGGTGGCAACCATTGGATGTGTCTCTCTCACGTCAATGTTTCTCTCTCTCTTTTCCTTCCTCTCTCCTTCCGGCTCTATCTCAAGATAAATGCAAAAATGTCCTCGGGTGAGGAAAAATAATAATAAAATAAAAATTTTTTTAAAGAGCCCTGCCCTGGCCGGTTTGGCTCAGTGGTTGGAGCGTTGGCCTGCGGACCAGAGAGACCCGGGTTTGGTTCCCGCTAGGGGCACATACCACCAAAAAAAAAATTTTTTTTTAAAAAAGAAACATCGATGTGAGAGAGAAACATTGATTGGCTGCCTCCTGCATGCCTCCTACTGGGGATCAAGCCTGAAACCAGGGCATGTGCTCTGACCAGGAATCGGACCCGGACCTGTCAGACCATGGGGTGACACACAATCCACTGAGCCAAACCAGCCAGGGTGCAGAAGTCCAAATTTTTTTTTTTTTTTAACATCCTCACCCGAGGACATTTTTCCATTTTTTGTTCAGGTAGAGTGGGAGGGAGAGAGAGGAAGGGAGAGAGAGAGAAACATCGATGTGAAAGGGACACATCGAGTGGTCGCCACCCGCACAACCAACCAGGGCCGGGGACAAACTGCAACCGAAGTACGTGCCCTTAGCGGGAACCGAACCCGGGTCTCTCCAGACCGCAGGCCGATGCTCTAACCGCTGAGCCAAACCGGCCAGGGCAGAAGTCCAAATTTTTAAAGGTTCTTCATGAGCCAGTCCCTGGCAACCTCTCCAATCTCATCTCTCCTTCGTCTCCTCTCACACTGTTAGTCCAGCCACACTAAATGTTTGTCTCGTCAGCTACTTTCATGCTTCTGTGACTAGAATGCCATCTTTCTTTTTTTTTTTTTTTTTTATCCTCACCCTAGGATATTTTCCATTTTTTGTACAGATAGAGTGGGAGGGAGAGAGAGGAAGGAGAGAGAGAAACATCGACGTGAAGGGACACATCGAGTGGCTGCCACCCGCACGACCAACCAGGGCCGGGGACAAACTGCAACCGAAGTACGTGCCCTTAGCGGGAACCGAACCCGGGTCTCTCCGGACCGCAGGCCGACGCTCTAACCGCTGAGCCAAACCGGCCAGGGCTAGAATGCCATCTTTCTACTTCCTCCTCTGAGCAAACTCCTACCCATTCTACCTGACCCAACACAAGTGTTTCCTCCTCCAGGAATTCTTTTCCTCCTCTCTCCATGGTGGTGAGACTAGAGAGAGAGGCCCTCTATACAGATTCAGCACCATTTCCTCTCATTTATCACACTTCTTATGCTACTTGGTTAAGAGAGGTCAAGTGGAGACTGAAGAGGCCATGTAGCCCAGCCCTCCACACAGGAGAGTTTTCATGTTTATCTCTCTTTGAAGAACAAGGATCAAGGCTGACTTATTTGGTATCTACAGCTCCAGCCCAAAACAGTCTATATGCCCTCACCACACACATAAGGAATGCACGTATCCTTTGGCACACAGGCACACATACATGCCTATTAACACAGAAAGATAGCCATACTTTTCTCTGTATTGGTACATGTTCCTCTTCAGGACAGAATAAGTGTGAGGATGGGTATGTATGAGTCCATAAGAGGTAAAAGAAATGGGACAGGGGACTGCCACATAAACCCACCTCTCTCAGTTCCTCCAGCCCATACTCCACAGCTGCTGTCAGTACCTCCAGCACCTGCAAAGTGGGTGGTTGTAATGGAAGAGTTCCTTCTGCCCTTCAACCACCCTCTCCCTCTCCCACCCAGACCTCTACCCAGTGGGCTCACAGAATGGCGGTGCAGCTTGACACTGTTGGTGTACAAGAACTCCAGCACTGCCAGGAAGGCCTCAGCTGGTACGGTGCTTAGCACCACCGGGCTGGGCACCCCAGGGCCTGGCTCTGGGCCCAGAAGTCGCTGGAAAAAGTTGCATCTACAGGCCAACAAGCACCGGTGGGCAAACACCTCCTGCCGTTCTTGACCGACCACAAAGCGAACATCACTGTGGGAGAGACAGGCAGAGAGCCAGGGGAGAAGAGGCCAGAGTCTAGGGTGCAACTCTAGGCTTTGCCTTTGCCCATTCTGGGCCTTTGTTTCCTTATCTGTCCTAGAGGAAACAGGGCTTAGTCCTTCCAGCTGAAGGTCTGGGACACGCAGGCCTGGGTTCTAGTCCCAGCTCCACCCTATAGTAGCTCAGGCAAGTGACTTTCTACCTTTGAATCTCAGGTTTCTCCCTTGTGAAATGGGCTGATAATCCCAAACTCTCAGGTCTCAGAGGAGGTGGCTATGCCTGATCGCTGAAGAGCTCCAGGGCTGATGCAAGATTGATGGCACATACCCCTCTCCTCCCCAGCCTGAGTCGTGGGGGGAAGGGAAGCCCTTCTTGGCTACTCCACAGACTGCAGATTCAGCTTTTCTCAGCTTCCTTCAGGCAGGAGGGTGTAGGAGGATGGGGGTACAGAGTGCACTGACTGCAAACAGACACAGCAGTAATGCACCATCAAGAGGCCAGACCACATTTTCCATCTTCATGATCATTTCCGGCCCAGACTCTGGGCCTCTGACAACACAGTGTGTAGGAGGCAGGAGATGAAACTTGAGTTTCTGGAGCCTCTTAGTCCCTGTTTCAAGGCTTGGGGTTCCTACCACTCAGACTAGACTGTGATCCCCAAAGCAGTAAGATTATGGGATTCACCAACCCTTGTGGAAGAGTCCAGCTCTGAACCAGTGAGGACAGAAAGCTACATTCTCGTTCTCTGGACCAGCCCTGCTCCCATACTCTATCCCTGGTTTCAGACACCACTAGTATCCTAGGCAAACACTGAACCCCAGGCAGCACTCTTGAACTACTTCTTGTCTGAGTCTCTGGCTCAATCCCTTGAACTTTGCAGGATCATCTGCTCCTCTGCCTCCCCAGGGAAGGACTAAAGTTAGGCCCCATCTCTCAGTATCCAGAAGAGAAGGCTCTTCTTCTCTGCCAGAAGCCCAAGATCCAAAAAAGAAGACCTTTGCTTGAGGTCACAGTCACCCACTGCCCTCCACCTCTGGCTCTCAGGATATCATGGCCTCTTAATTCAGCGAGAGGGTCAAGTCCTAATTCCCCACCTCTTCTGTACCCAGGGCTTCCTCAGAGTCATGGCACCCAGCAGAGCCAGCTATAACCCACTGACAGGGCCAACCCCCTCACCTGTATAGGCGGCTGTTGACGAGGCTTCGGAGTGCTTTGGAAAAGGGCTCAGCCTCCCCATGCACCAGTCCAGGGCCCTCCATGGTTGGGGTGGGGCAGAGGAGTTAAGTGGGTGAAATAGCCTAGTAAGCCTTTGTCAGTTGGTATGTGGGAGGCAGGAGTTCGGAAAGAGCAAGAGGCCTAGCCAGGCCTTACAGCTGGTACGTTGACTAGAAAGGCCTGAGAGGGAGGGGCAGGAGCTTGGGAGGCCTGTTTGCTGAGAAGCTGTTTAGGGATGGGGCAGGAGAGGCCCAGGTTCCTGAAGAAGGCATCAGAGTCTGGTGGAAGGGGCAGAGCCCGGCTTGGGGATGAGGACTCAGGGAGGGGACCAAAAGAGGCCAAGTTGGAGCAGACCAGATGGGGGAGGAGAGGCTAGCTGCAAATGAGGCCCCAGCTGGGAGCCTGTCCAGGCAGCTGCTAGGGTGGGAAGCCTGTGGGTTTCCAAGGAAACTAGAGCCTGGTCTGAGGAGGCCCCGCCCATCTCCCACAGGCCTAGGGAAAATTTCAGACCGCAGAAGGGCCCTAAGCAGAGTCTTAGCACCCTGGCCCCTGCCTGTTCTGGGTTCAAAGTTTAAACTCCCTGCCCTTCATACCTACCCCACCCACATGCACACAGGGTTTGGATCAAGTTAGCCAGGTCTGGGAAACCCCCCTCAATAAAGAGGGGAACCAGGACAGGAGTGCTTACCTAGCAACCCATGGCAACTTCATAACACAGACAAGGGGCCCTTACCCAGGGAAAACCCTGAACAGTTTTCAGGGCCCAAACAGGGCTTATTTGGGGCGGGGGGCAGTCCTGTCTCTCCCAGGGGGTGTCAGGTGAGGAGATGTCAGCCCTGACAAAGGAGTCATGGCCACTGGCATCCCTGAAATGCAACACAGGTGTGGTAAGGACAAGCCCCAGGGTACTTGGGTCAGGAGGCTGGATGCCTAGTTGAGTGTGAGCGCACCCCCCACCATGTGCTAAGGCATGAGTTGACGAAGTCAGCCAAGCCCCACCCTAGCTCAGCTCAGGGAGCGGAAATATTTGTCCTTGTTTAGACTGAAGGAGACGATAGAGTCATGATGTGCTCCTTCCTGTGGGCCCAGATCCTGACTTTTTTTTCCCCCTAATTGTTATTGGTCTGTTTAAGTTTCCTCTCTCTTAGTCAAGTTTTCTGACTCTTGAGCAGCCATCCCCTGCAGCAGCCTCAGGGTCTCCCCACATCCCAGGCCTCCGAGACTGCTCACAAGGGAAGTGAAAAGCCATTCTTCACAGGGGGAGAAATGAGGAGTGGCTTCAGAGCCCTGGAGTAGGGACACCTTTCTGATCAGAGCCCCTCTCTACATCTGCTCCTTCAGTTGTCCTTTCCAGGGTAGACTGTCCCTGGGCTCTAGGCCCTTGTTGTCCCCTCTCCCCTGATGACTCAGGCACCCTGCGCTCAGCATGTGCGCTCAGCATGTGCTCCGTAGTTAACACTCCCGGGTTAAGTCAGAGCCAGGTTGGAGGGAGGGAACCAGGAAGGGAGGAGTGCTTGCCCAGCAACCCATGGCAACTGCCACAACACAGGCAAAGGGCCCTTATTTTCCCACCTGCCCGGCAGGCCAGCCAGGCTGTGAGAGCTGGAGGCCAAAGGCGGCAGGTGACTCAGGGTGCCTGCGGGAGTTTCGGGAGAGGAGAGCAGCCATCCCGGAACTGTTTCTGGAGGTAGGTCCAGAGGCCAAAAGCAGAGGGTGGAAGGCGCTTCCTGAATCACCTGCCCCCGGCCAATTGTGGGGAGAAATTTGTGCCCACCATTCTAGGGGTAGGTAGGGGTGGAAGATGATGGGCTATACCCACAGGGCTAGATGGACCCATGGAGTTGGAGTTGGGTCTGTCTGTTCCTCCTTCTGGTTAGGGGTTGGAGGCACCACTGTCTAGGCAGAGGCAAAGGGCAGATACCTCTCCCTTCTCCTGCTGGCTAACCTCCACAGTGCCCTGGGGAAAGTGGAGCCATGGGACAGGGACTAGCCTAAGATGATAGTCTAAGCAGCATCTCTTTCCTTGTTTATGTTCCTAACAACCCTTAACCCTCTAAGCATCTAGGAATCCACTCAACCCCAGACTATTTGATTTACCTGTCTCCAAAACACAGGTAAGAAGAGGTTAGGGGGTAAAAAACCCTTATTACCAAATAAGAAACTAGATGGTATTCAAAGGTGGCCAGTGAAAGCCAATCCAAGTGTGGGTCTTTCAGCCAGCAGGTCCATGGCTGGCAGGCCTGTGCCCCCCGGATGCCAGGAGGAGGAGACTACCAAAGACCCCGGGTTGAAACTAGCACCAGTGCGGCCTCCAGGCCACCTGCCCAGCATTGATGAGGCCCGACCAGCAGGTCCTGGCCCAGGCTCCCGCCGTGGCTCCGTGCTGGGCCTGGCTTCATCCTTTTCCCACCGCAACTCGCTGGCTGGACTAGGTATGGGTCCTGGGGGTAGGCGACCATCCTTGGGCTCGGTGCCCCCTTTAGGTTCACGGGTCAGCTTCACTGGATTGTCCCTGGGACCTCCCCGGCGGATGGCGCCCTCTTATCGCACTGAGCCAGCGTCTGGGGAGCGCTGGGAGGCCACGAGAGCACAACGTGCCCTGGAGGAAGTGCTGGCCACAGGACTGCAGGACACAAGCTACTCTGGCACCAAGGTGGGGCTGCTGGTGCGGGAGCTGTGTGAACTGGTGCACATGCGTCTGAGAGAGCTCAGCCCACCGCGCTACAAGCTGGTGTGCAGCGTGGTGCTGGGGCAGCGCAGTGGCCAGGGTGCGCACGTGGTCAGTCGCGCGCTCTGGGACACGGCGCATGACGGCCTGGCCTCCGCCACCTTCACCAACGCCTCACTCTTTGCAGTGGCCACAGTCCACGGGCTCTACTACGAGTGAGGAGGCATCCAGTTCTGCAAAAACGGTTTATTATTCCAGGAGGAGGTCCTCCCTTGGGCGCACATCCCAATAAATAAATGTCAATAAATAAAAATGGTCCATAAATAATGCCCCCTAGCTGGGGGCTAAGGCTCAGGCTTTTCTTGGAGAAGGGGTAGGAGGCAGCTATGACAAGCAGCCTCCAACCTCAGTAAAGCTGGTCCCTGATTCCCTGGGGGATTAGGCCCAGAGCCCCTAGTGAGGCACCAAAGGGACAGGGAGGGTCACAGAGGCAAGGGCCAGAGCCTTACAGACACAGGCCTCAGGCCTAAGGGCTTAGGTCATAGCCCGCTCTGCAGGCTGGGGCCTAGGCCGAGCAGCGGTCCCGGAGCAGGCGCAGAGTATAGCGGAGCCGCTGCCGCAAGTCTGGGGAGCAGCCCAGCTGCCAAAGATGAGAAGCAAGGTAAGTACAAGCACTACGATTGCGGGCTACGAAAGTCACAAGGAGGGGCTCCCAGCCACTGAGGATCAGCTTGGTGTGGTCTCCATAGAAGTTCACCTGTGCACAGGAGGGTGGCAATGATCAGCGCGTAGGCCCACCATCCAGTTTCCTCCCAATCACCCTGTGCCTCCCAGACCTTCCCCCAATTCCAGGAGAAGCTCTTACCTGGACTGTGCCATCACTAAACAGCATGAGTAGCGCCTGATCAGTCTTGACCCACTGCAGCAGGAGTGGGGGGACAGGTACTTCCACTTCTTCCACACTGGGCAGATCTCCACCCTGGGGGCAAGGGTAAGTCACTTCTCTGACGAATAAGGCCCCTCCCCACTGGTCTCCTTTAGAGGTTCAGCCTTTGGCTTTGAGTCCTTCCACGAAGGAGAATAAGAAGGGACCAGGATGTGTTAGTCTGCAATGTGCCCCACCGCAGTCCACACACCTTCATGAGGTGTTGCTCCATGTAGGAGGCGAAATACCGCAAGACACCCAACTGAGGCTGCAGGCCCCGAGGGACAGCATCCACAGAGAAGGAAAAGTGCTTTGTGCTGGTGGGATTGTAGTGCACAGTCCTGGAGGGAAGGAGACAGAGGTCAGAAGGAGCCCTGCACTGATGCCCCTCCCCTGAGAGACCCCAGGCCCCAAGCCCAGGAGCAAACACCAAGGTGCAGCCCTGCTGGGTACAATGGCCTGGATACAAGGCACCACATAATAGCACTTACTTTCTGTTGGCCGACAAGGCCATGTGTGTGCCATTGTTGAAGAGCACGGCCACTCGGTGGCTGGACAGCTGATACCCAAAGCCAAACTTGTTTGAGTAGTCAACCCACTTGCTGACCCACACCAGAGGCTCTGGCTGTGCCAGGGGAGCTGGGTTCTGTTCCACTGTCATGGGAGAGGAAGGAGTAAGGACATGTTTCTGGCCTCCCAGCCAAAGAATTCCCACCACCATTCACATGTATCAGACCCCAACCTTACCTGGGGGCATGAAGGCCAGGCAGTTTCTTAAAGCACAGAGGGCTGACTCCACCACTGTGGCCACAGTCAGACCTTCTTCAAACCCTAAAGGGAACAGGTACTCAGAATTAGGCATTAGTCTCCTAGGACCAAGGTCATGTCCTTCTGCCCAGTCCTTCCCTCTGGTCCGTGGTCTCAGCCCCAGCAACCTCCAGCACCTCTCATACTCCGGCTGCTCACCATCTCCACTACTCGCCAGTGTCCCACGGGGTGAGCTGTCTTCAGGTGCTGTCTCTACCAGGCTGAGTGGGGCTGGACCAGAAGCTGCTGGAGCCTGGAGGGTTAAGTAGAAGAAGGGAGAGAAATAGGCCCCAAAATCCAAATCCTTGAGAGTCCATGGCCCAGCCCTACCCTGGCACCCAGGGCACCCCAGGTCAGCCCTGACTGGCTAATGAGACACAGCCAATTAGGCCACCACGAGGCTAGATGTTTCACCAGCCTCTTTTATCCCGAGCTTCCTGCAGCTGCTAGGGTGGGGGTGAGTCAGGGGAATACTGCCCACGTGAGCACCTCACCTCGGGCCTGGCATCCTGATGGCCAATGGACGTCCGAGTGAGGCCGCTCACCAAACAGGAAACCTCGTCCCGCTCCTTGGGATGGTTCTTACCTGGATAGGGGTGGATATAGCCCTCAGTATCCTGCTTCCCACAGGGATAATACAGATAGGCACACCTGAATGCCTATATAACACACACTCTCCCCAGGGACTCACAGGTACTCACATTCATACCACCACAATGTATGTAACAAGCCCCCCTGTTGCTCTGTACCCTCAAAACCACCAGCATCCCAGACTCACTCTTGTTCTTCTTCCTGCCAAAGAGGCTTTTGGTAACTTTGACAAACAGAATCCTAGCTGGGTTAAGGGGTATCAGGTCTGGGACTGTCACACAGCTGTTGATAGGGAGCCGGTCGGGGGTGTAGCCCTGAGGAATGGAACCATGTGAGCAGAAAAGAGAGCCAAAGGGGGTCCTGCACCTGTCCCCATTCAGTCCCCTGGGAATGGGCAAACTGAACTTAGGTGTCTGGTGAGCCACAGACCTTGGTAAAGAAATCATGGCGCAAGATCTGGTCAATTGAGGGGCGGTCCTGGGGCGAGGCTCGAAGGATGGCAGCCAGGAGCTGCCGGGCAGGCAGTGAGAGGCTGGCAGGCAGAGTATAGTGAACCTGTTTGATGCAGCGGTACGTCTCCTTCAGGTCAACTGTCTCAAACGGGGGGCTCCCACATAGCAGCGTGTACCTGTGGGGCAGAGATAAGGGGTCAGGAATAAAGTGGAAGGTATGCCCCACCCATGCACCTATCTGTGTACAGATGACCCTGGGACTCACATGACACAGCCCAGGGACCACACATCTGCCTCTGGGCCGTGGCCCTGTCTCTGCAGCACTTCTGGAGCCACATAGTTAGGAGTGCCACAGATGGTCCTGAAAAGGGGTAGGGAGGAGAGGGGAAGGTTTAGACCCAGCTCAGCTAGTCCCCACCCCATCCCTGCCCCCGCTGTGAGTCCAGACAAAGCAGCTGCCTGTCACCAAAGGCCAGAGAACTCTTGCTTGTCCTGGGACAATGGATGCTGGAGATGGCAGCTGAGTCCCCGCCCACCTGCCTGGCCCAGCTGCTCAGCTGCTCTGTAGCACAGAGGGAGGGAGGCCCTGGACCTCAACCCAGCCCCCTCCTCCAGGGTCAACAGAGGGTACATCACTGATCCCTTCCTCCTTCCCCCACTCCCGTCTGTCAGACACCCATACAGGCTGTCACCTCCTATGGTCTGTGCCACATACACACACCAACACCAGCTGTCACATCCCCCACAGACACTCATCTGTCACACATGCTATCTGTGTCACTCACACCCAGTCATGGCCACAGCAGGGTCTTCTTACACACATTCAGGGTGTCATGTCTTACCATTCCCATCCTCTCAGTCTGTCTCATACACACAATCCTTATGTCACCTTCCCCCATCCACACAGATCAGTCATACACCTCCAAGAACCCTTATACCTCATTTGTCTTGGGGACTCAGACATCCGTAGGGCCCTCAGCCTCTCCACCGGTCCCAGTAACCCAGGCTGCCACCTCCACCTTCACATACACAAACAGCTCATTATCTCTCCCCCATCTATCACACACACACACACACACAGACACACACATCAGGAAATCACCATGCTTCCCACATACTGTCTGTCAAATACATCATCTGTGTCACACACAGACTTTGGCTACCCCACCCCCCTTAAATACTCACTTCTTCCTATGCTCTGGGGGCTCCAACCGGGTTGCCAGCCCAAAATCCCCCATCTTCAGTTCCATGTTCTCAGTGATAAAAAAATTTCCTGGAAGGGGGCAGAGAGGTGTGTCACACTCCTTCCTATACCTCCCCACCTCCACGCCCCCCCCCCCCCCACGCTGCTTGGCCCAGGAGTCTCACCCAGCTTGAGGTCTCGGTGCAAGATGCCTCGCTGATGCAAGTACTTGAGTCCGGAAAGAATCTGTCGCAGGTAGTAGCGCACCTCTGGCTCCAACAGGGTGTGCCGGGCCTTCCAGATGTGGGCCAGGGACTACAGACAGCCACTGCCTCAGTCCCTGGTCTACCCTCCCTGACCCTCCCTCCATCTGTGCTTGATGAGGAAGAGACAGGATCTCCAGCTTTGGATCTTAAGGCCCCTTTACACTTCACCCCACATCACCACCCACCTTTCGGCTGCAGAGCTCCAAGAAAATGTATATGTTGTCAGCATCCTCAAAGTGATGTGAGAAACGTACGATGTGGCGGTGCTGCAGGCCGCGGTGCAGCTCAATCTCATTGAGGATCTGCAATAGGAGGGCAGAGTTGTCATCCTTCAGAGGCTCCCATGCCACTGTCCTCACCCCACCCCTTGTCCGCTGGGCCCGGGCCCGAGCCCACCTTCTCGCGCTGGTGCGGCTTGGTAATGCGGCTCTGCGAGATGACTTTGACCGCGTAGGCGTTGCCGGTCTCTGTGTCAGTGGCCTCGTAGCAACGGGCGAAGCCCCCCTACGAAGAGAGGGCATCAGGGCTGGTGCTCCAAGGAAGGCCGGATCTGGTCCACAGAGGTCTCAAGCACCCTCACCGCGCCCGGCGCGGGCATAGAGGCTGGCAAGGGGCCCCCTCCACTCTCGCTAGCACCATTCCCAGCTCACCTTGCCCAACAGGCGGCCTTTGAAGTAGGTGCGGCCGCTTTCTGGGTCCGTGATGAGGCGCCCGGGATCCGGCGCCGGCGGCCCGGCCAGCGTCTCTAATTCAGGTCCCGGCACGGCAGTCGGAGGCGGCCCGGGCCCGGCGGGGGGCGCGGGTGGAGCAGCCGCACGCTGGAAGGGGCGCGGGGACAGGACGCCGGCCGCGGGCTCCATGCGGACCGTGAGTCGCAGCGCAGGTCCGGCTTGCTCGCGGTTCCACCCCACCCCGGCCGCGCGTGGCGCTGTCCGGACTTGCTACGCTGGGCTCGCGCCCGAGGGAGCCCGGCGTTTTTATCAATGAACGCCTGC